ATCCACTCACCTCAGCCTCCCAAAGGCGTGGGATTACAGGCTGAGCCACCGAGTTTGGCTTACGTTTATAATTTCAACACTTTGGAGGCCGGGGAGAGAGGATTGCTTGAGCCCAGAAGTTCAAGACCAGCCTGGGCATCATAGTAAAACCTCATCTCTACAAAAATTAAAAAGTAGCCAGGCATGGTGGCATGTGCCTGTAGTTCCAACTACTTGGGAGACTGAGGCAGAAGGATAGCCTGAACCCAGGAGGTTGAGACTGGTGAGCCATGATTGTGGTATTGCACTCCAGTCTGGGCAACAGAGTGAGACCCGTCTTTAAAAAAAAATTAAGGCAAATAATTACTGACTTCAGGAATTTTGATAGTTACTCAGATTTGGGAATTTGGTGTTCTCTGGTATGTTTTCATTTGGATACTTTATTTTGAGTTGGAGATTTTTGCCCAGGCTGGAGTGCAGTGGCATACTCATAGCCACCGCAGCCTCGACCTGCTGGGCTCAGGAGATCCTTCTGCCTCATAGTGAGACCGTCTCTACAAAAAAATTTAAAAAAATAGCCAGGTGTGGTGGTTTGCATCTGTAATCCCAGCTACTTGGGAGGCTGAGGCAAGATGATCTCTTGAGCCCTGGAAGTTGAGGCTGCAGTAAGCCAAGATCACGCTACTGCCCTGCAGCCTGAGTGACATTGCAAAACCCTGTCTAAAAAAAAAAATACATATTTGTGTGTGAGTTTCTTAAAGTCAACTCTCATACAGCCTTATTAAAGTGTCATCAAACACAGCCATGTCTGGCCAGTAACAAGTGTGCCACAATTGTAGATGAGGTTATCTCAGAACTTAAAGGTCCTTGGAGAAAAGCTGCAGTAAACTCTAACTAAATTTGAAGAAAGTAATTACAAATTTCAGTTTGCCTAGGGATACCTCATAAATTAATTTGAGTGTTATTAATAAGGTGGATGTTAATTTATGAATTTAATGTGTGAGCAAATCAGCTGAGACCCTTCTTTTCCGGAATTAGTATGCTGCATTGGAGTTCCG